CTTTAATTCTTTGCTTATTGTGTTTCAAGATGCTTAATTCTCAGATTGTACTGAGGAAGTACCTTGGTTTTATTTGTGCTTACTGACTCTGGTATCTTAGCAATCAAATTTGAAGACAAGTATGGTTCTGTGATGCACACAGAAAAATCTAAACCAAATGTTTTATTGCCTACAGTTCAGTGAAAGGAAATTCGGTATCTCTTTATAGGCATATTACCTGCATTTCCAGTGAATCCTTTTTATAAGGCCAAATTTGAATTAAATAAACCAACTGAGAATATAATTTATAGTATGGGAAGCCACTTCCCTTTGTGGCTAGTGCTTTAAATGAAGACTATATTAGAAATTATATGTAGTGTCACTGTGTCATCAGACTGAAGGAACACCAGAGCAAAGTGCCTTTATTGTAGGATAGTTTGTAGGCCAAAAGCAATTATAATGACTATATTGATTTTAGCTAACTGCCTATGAAATTTCAAAAGATCACATCTTTAATTGATATTGAATTGCATTGACTTGATTGATTTCCATGTATGGTTTAAGTACTTACTGAGTGCTCCAATCTCTAGTAGTGTCCAGAGCTGGGAGTGGGAGAGGAGGGCAGAAGAGATTGTATAATATTGCCAGGCAGGATTGAACTCAGGAAGGGGGGATGGTATGGATAGGGAAGGGAAGATGTCGTCTCTATTATATGCATGCTCAGGGTAGGAGATAGATGTGATGAGGAAAAAGGAATATGAATATTGCTTGGAGGCAGGTCTGAGTTGCAAAGGAACTCTTGTATGGCCCTCTGGATAGGGATTGCTGCCTCTATAAGGAGTGGCAGTGTGGCTCCATCCAATTTGACCCATCCACTCCTCAGTATAATCTTTGATTTCATGTTTAGAGGCATGAAAATCAAGTATGGGGTTTTGGAGGGGAGTTTGTTTAGTGTAGTCTCAGGCATTTGCACAGTGAGTGTAGAGCAGCACTTCACTGCCTTAGTTTGTATTCTTCCTCCCATCTTCATCTGGATATGAGAACTTCCATGTGCCAGTGTCACTTCCAGTCATAGGAGTAATTTCGAGGTCTGTAATTTTGATTCTTGTCTTACAGAATGATTTACCATCCCCAAATGGCTTGATTCGTTAGTGCCACCTGTGGGTCTGCCGGGTCTGTTGTTTTGTTTCCCTGCTTTGGAGTGGGGATGCTGTGGGTTGTAGTTGGCATTTCAATACTGCCGTGCTATGCAAATAAATCCTAACCCTTTTCCCAAGGAGAGTTTGAATCCTTTCTACACCGATTTCTGTTTAGAACTTAGGTGTATGACTAAATAAATAATCAACTAATGACAAGGTGAGAGTGAAACCAGTCTGTGTGGTGTTATTGGAAACACATTTCTGGATTGGAACTCCAGAGCATGTAAAGTATTTGCTGAGTTGTAAGTCTGATTTATTGATTTGATTTCTTCCTTATGTTCTGCTGATTCCATAATTTTGTTAAATAGATACACACAAATAATATATTTCTACCATTAAGAATGGTAATATATTTCTACCGTTTAGAATCAGCGGTTTGGTGTATTGCATTAGATTATCAAAGCAGATATTTTGGTCCCAGTAACCTAAGATAGCTGCTACTTTAAAGACAGGACGTGCTCATTCTGACCTCTATGCAATTATTGTATTCTGTGAAGCATGCAATATAAACATCAATGCCGTTAATAGCCATAAATAATTCCCCTTTCTAAAAATTTCTATCTGATCCATGTTGTTGACTTGCAGATGAAACTGCTAAGTATATCCCTAATGAAATTAACTATTACAGTCACGACCAGAAACTAAGGAAATGGAAAGCTAAGACAGCATGAGGGATTAACAATCATGGCAATTGATTGAGACATGGTGCTGCATAAAATAAAATAAGAAAAAGTTCTGCATTCTCCAGAGACTGGTCATGAAAGCTTTAACACTTGACTAAGATAACTAATTACTATGTGACCTGTACAGATAGTATCAAAGGGGGACTGAGGGAACATACAAGATAACTTATTTGGTAACATTTCAAAGCAAGATGTCTGATGTCTTTTGTGAGGTCTGTGTCAATATAGATGGTAGGTTTCCAGTTAAACAAAATTAATTTCTTTTTAGAGCGAGAGAAAGGTGCCTATGTGCAAGTCAGGAAACCTGAAGGCTGATGGGATTTTCATGCTGGAGAGTGCTAAGGTACTTCAACATGGAGATGACTTAGAGGCTTGCTGAAAGATGGATTTTGGTATCATTAGACTAATTGGTTACTTTAATAGCCAAGATGTTGCCTAAGAACAATTATAGTGCCTTTGATAAAAGCAAATTTTTGAGGTATTTATTTTTGTAATGACATAATTTGTAACATAGGTGTGGACTCAATTCTTATGGGCCTCTGCAATAGAGATGTAAACATGACCAGTGAGTTTTCTTACTGCCTGTGCGTGATGAAATGGGGTCCTCCATGTCCTGGTGGCGATGGGGAGGGGGGTGGTTGTTCTGCTACCTCTGTCACCATCTGCCAGAGGATCGGTGCTGCCAGAAGGGCCAATACTAAAGCCTGAGGGTGTTTGCTGTGTGGGGGAAAGCAGTTCTTGATACTTAGAATTAAAATACCTGTCTGAGAGAGCTCAGACTACAGTAAGTGAGCTTAGAGAATATATCTGGATACACTAAAGCCTGATTTTAAGTGAACTCTGTAGTAATATTTGGGTTTTTTACAATTATTTTGGCACACAAAAATAATTAGAATGAAGGAGTACTGGGTTAAGAGAACCCAAAAGTTGCTGGTAAATTTTACTGATGTAGGACTAATGCTGTATATTAGCTCACATTAAATTTAGCAATGTATTTTAGGCATAAACTAAAGGAAGACTAATTCGGAAAAAGCTATGATGCTGCAGCAGTATCTTACTTGTTACAACATTTCAGCTTTTAAATTAATTTTGAAGTGAAACTAAAAACAAAATAAAAAATTAATTTCTTACATCACAAAATAGTTATAATTTGAAAACTAATTTCTCTTCATTGAGCCACAAAACAAAACCAGTTATTCGCTGTTTTGTTGAAAGCAGCAGGATTTACCTTAGCAGTTTAGAGGAATGGGAAAAAAATCCATACTGCCTGTTAGACAGGGCTTTCATCAAGTCTGAAATTTAACAAAGTGATGCTTCTTCTGTCTGTAAAACTGGAATATTGTGTGGTTAGAATGAGTGCCTATGGATGGTTACAGGAGGGGTGAGTGGTTCCTTAAGACAGAGTGGAAGGAGAAAGTATATGAAACTATAAAAGCAGGGATTGTGTCACGGAGACTTTTTGATAATGGGAAGCTGTGATACCATTCAGGTCTGCCCTCTGCTGATGGGAGTGTTTAGTGTCTAGAGGTGCTGGTTTAGAGCTCTTTATAAAGCATTACATGATGACCTGACTTTCAGGTCACAAGAAAGGTCAGAGCAAATTTTATCACAGGCACCAATGTTATTTCCCTCACTGGATTACCCTGAGGAGGCTCTTTAAAGATCTGACCTAAGCCTGTTATCTGACTTTCCTTATTTTGCAGTTTGCTTCATGGAAGTGAAGAAATAGGGTCAATTTTAATGTTGCAAATGTGATTATTTAATTTTTTTTTTTATTCCCAAAACACCACAGCATCCTTATTATTTTTCCTTGTTTGGCAAATGCTGGCAGTTTCATCACTGTGTGGTAAGGCACCAGGAGCAGAAACCAATCACGTGGTAACATCAAGGCCATGTTTAGTTCCCTGAACTCAAAAGAGGCAAAAGTAGAGAAAATTAGTCTCTGAGAAGCAGAAGGTTGCTTTGCCCTTTCTTGTGATGGTTTGAATTAGCTGCAGTGTATCAGGGGGACCTGGATAAGAAGCTTGCCTGATTTTTAGCTGCAACAGTTCACAGTGTTAATGTGAGATGTCAGTGATGCAGATTTACTGGTACTGGCCTGTAAACTCATGCCTTGTTCCAAGCGGGCAGTTTAAATTTTGATTTAAGTTAGCTGAGTGTAGAAAATCAGAAAGAGAGGATCATATTAGCACTAATGAAGGAAAAATGACATGAAATATTAAATAAGTATTAATACAAGATATTTTATAAATCCAAAGGAGGTAGAGGTGGAAAAGACCTATGAGGTCACCTAACCTATCTTTTTTGGAGGACTGGCTTGCTGTCTGCAATATATAATCATTGTCTGCTACTCCAGACTAGTTCTAAATGCCCCAAGCTTTAGTACTCTTAATGCAAGAGAGGAAAAAAGAAAGGGTCATAGACTTTTTTCTATTTCTTAAACTTTTCCTCACTTCTTTTATGTTTCTGAAACCCTTCCTCAAATTTACATGTTGGTTTTTCCTCTATTTTGTCTTTTTTATTTTTTAATTTTTTTTGCTTCAGTGTCAGAAAGCCCTGAAGAAAGAGATGATTTCAATAATTCTGGATAGCTGTGTTATCTCTGTCTTTTGTGTGGATCACAGTCACTACTTTGACAATTTTATTTTTTAATTTTCCTCAGTTTTTAATTTTTTTCTCTCCTATGGCAGCTGTGTTCCCTGACTAATCAGCCCAAACTGGTAGTGTGTGGAGTAAGAATATTTTTTTATACTCTCTCCTTCTCTTTGTGCCCCCTCACCATATATTTGCACATCCTCATTGGGCAAAAGCCCTGTTGGGAGAGAGCAACATCATTATTCCATGTAGAGCTGGAAGGCAGTGATGATTTGCCACAAAGAGTGGTTGTATGAGCAGTGAAGCCTCAGTGGAGGTGTGGTGTCTCTTTAGACACTCTGCAGTGAGCAGTACCAATAAAGGTGATGTTTGTCCTGTATTTAACTATCATGAACTTGAATGTACACCTTGAAAAACAAGTACCTGTTCAAAAAGGAAGCATGTCTGTCCATATGTGGGAAGGAAGCGTGGAACAGTTATTTAGCCTCTCTGAGTGTTCTTACTATTATTTGTTTGTTTACTTACTCTGTAATTGCCTTTTCAGCCCGGTCAAGGAGTTTGGTGATGGGTGAACAGATTGGGCCTCCCTCCAGACCATCTTCTCCCAACCCTCAGGAACGTGTGCTGAAGTGTGGCTGGCTAAAGAAACAAAGGAGCATTATGAAGAATTGGCAGCAGCGGTGGTTTGTGCTGCGAGGGGATCAGCTCTTCTATTATAAGGATGAAGAAGAAACTAAACCTCAGGTATGACTAGAGAACTGCAGGAGTTAATGGTTGTGACTTCTGTGTGATCTCAGCTGTGCTTTGATTGACAGCTCATTTCAGTAGTTATCTACCCTCACCAAAACCATACACACTTAAGGAGGTTCAAATGCACAAGATACTGCAGGGAGGCTTTTCTACTGCCAGACAAGTGGTAGAGCTTGGGAAAAGGTTAGAAGGTGTTTACTTACCCACTAGGGCATGCTGACCTCCAAATCTTAGTATGGTCAGCTATGAGACTGGAGTTTGACAAGAGGAGCTATGGAGCTGCAGATTACTGAGGCAGGAGTGATTAACCTCCTTGCTCAGCTGGGACTTGTTATCTCCCAGTTAATCCATTGTTAGCCATGAGGTGAACCAGGTGCTTAGAGCTGGCTTGTGTGTGTGTGGAGTGTGTAGGTTTGGTTACATGCTGAGAATGGGCTGTAATATGTGTTTTAGTGGGAGGGAAGGAGTGGGTGTTGTGCTGTGGGCACAGGAGATGAAGAATTTCTTATTCATGTTTTTCTAATGCCTGCAAAATTTTCTCAGAGCATTTGAGCTAAGGTCTTTCCTGTTGCTGTAGTAGATTATGCATCATAATTCACATAGTCATTGTTTTGACTGTCAGGCCTTTAACCAGAGTCATTGAACAGAGGGAACATAATTGAATGAGCCAGACATTGTCCCTATGCTGCTGGCTCCTGATGAGTCAGTACAGGCATTACAGAGTGACAGTCATACTGTGTAATATCATCACCATCCACACACTCATTATAGACAATTATTAAACTGCTTGATGCAGCTGTCTGCTTGACTGTCACACATAAATTTCATTGTAGAGTGAGAATGGAAACTAATATTCCCCTGTGGGCCTGACATAAATATGGTAGATGAATGAGGATCTTGACTCATCTTATATCTTGCACTCCCCTGATAAGGGATTTGGTCCATAATTATGGAAAGTCTTCTGTGTAAAGGCCAGATAGATGTGAACTTCATGATGTAACTTGATTACTCAGGATGCTGCCAGCAATAGCTGGATTTTGCACTTTCAAGCCAGGCACCTTCTCTTCATATGCAATACATGTGGCAGAGCTGGGCACTTTTGAACCATGCCAGTGAACATGATGAGGAAGAAATGGCCTCAGGTAGTCTTGTTGTAAAGAGTTTCTTTAACCCTGGCCCTTTTTGGGCATGGGGTTGCCATTCATTTATCATTGTGGGAAATCATTTTGTATAGGATGATACAGGACTATGTTCTAACTTTTCTTGTACGAGTTGCAAATTAGGATTTACACCTGACTTCAGCTGGGACTGTATGCATCCCACAGGAGAGATGTACCTTTGGGACTTATAGACAGCTGCTGCTTGGGATTCTCTGGAATGAAGGGGAAATGGCACAGGTGTGCCCATGCATCTTAGGAAGACAACTGAGACTCTTTGTTGTAGGGAGATTTTTTTTATAGGCCATGGAGATATTTTCACCAGTTGTTTTTGATATTAATCCCTAATTTTCTTCAGCCCTAGGTACTCATGCTTAATTTAAGTATTTTTGTTTTATTTACTAAGTATGGCCTTTAAGCTTGTGTGTAAAAATGAAATCAATAGTTTCACTGAAATTCCCATTGATCTTCCACTTACTTGATTATTTATACATACTCTGGAAGAGTTGTACTCTTCTTGTTTACCTGGTAAAGTCAAATGAGATTTATGGCATAATATTTCTAGAGAGAAACATGAAACAACATCTCTTTTTTCATGGATGTTGCATTGCCTATTTTTATGAAAACCTGTGCTTTCAGATTCTTAGAGGAAACTGCAGATACTCCTCCTTTAATAATATTGCAGAAAAGGTAGAACTGTAATCTAATGGCAGGAGAATCACACAGGCATTCTGGAGGGAAGAGGATTTTTTCTGTTGTCCTAATGGATTGAATATCATTGAAGGTGTGTATATTTTTGTGCCACATGGCAGGTGCAGTTGCACAGCCCTCCATCAGAGACCAAAGTTAGAGGGTGGATCTGCAGCCATTGCTTTTCTGCAGAGTTTTCTCTTTTTTGCCTCTGTGAGGACAGGGGGAAAGGAGGAGTGACCTGCAAAGAGATTTTGATACTCCTACTGACCCTGTCAATATGTTTGTGTTTTTAAAGCAGCTTTGGGCTTGTTTCTATTCCCAGGAAAGGAGAGAGCATACACTGCTCCCCCATTTCCAGGGGAATAGAAGCCACTGTGCAACTAATTCATCAACACTTCCTTCAGTATTGACTTGACATGATAAAAGGTTTTAATGCATCTGCAGTGGGCTTGAATTTTGCACTTTAGGAAAGCGCAGAATTTTCTAGAATGTGGCCACTGGACTCTAAAGATGATATTTTACACAATACTTTTTGATTCTATTCTGAATAACTTCAGATGCATCTGCATTTTTGTCAAGTGGCCTTTCCTATGTTTTCCTGTTGTCTTGGGAATGTCTTCAGTTTATCTTCTAATTTCCGTGACCCTCAGAGTCAAATTGCAGGGCAACAGGATTGGGAGGTAAGGGTGGTGACGGTTTATCCTGTTGTGCTGACTTATTTTACTTCAATTTAAAATCTTAGAACCATTCTTGAGAACCAGTCAGTATGGACTTTGCTAAGAGCCCTCCTCCACCATGTCATTCCACAACCTTACCCTTACACTGGGTAGGGGACAGGAGCTGAGCCTTGACACTGTTGAACAAAGCATTAGTAGGAGGATGTGTTCCTGAAGAGCAAAGCTATGGAAATTATACTGAATAGTGACAATGAAAAGTATCTGCCTTCAATGTTTTATAGAGAAGATTGTAAAGTTCTTCTGTTAGTTGAAATTATGGATTGTCTTTCTCATGAGACACTAATTGTATTACTCCATTATATGTGGATCTGGAAGCTGACATATAGCATAACTAGAATTTGCTTTGATTACCAATGTTATGATGTCCAGTGTGTCTTGGATTTGGGTCTTGCCAGATTAGTAAACATGCATAGCTGTATTCTCACCAACCAGAGATATGTGTGAAAAACTTGACTGAAACAACTTTACAACTTTTTTCATTTTCTGTTCATCAAGAAAAGATTATTTGGACCCTGTTTGCATTCCAGGGCAGTTCAGTACAGGAACTGCTGATTACCCTCTTCATGGCTTAACTCTTGAGAGTCCCAGTTCTTACTGTATTTTGTCTGTCTGATTGTGCACATGTTCTGAAGAATATTAGCTGGAAACCCTATAAAAGATCAGAGATTAAATGCTTGTTTCACCCAGGTTACTGGAGAAGAGCATCCTGTGATGTCTTTTTCATATTTTCCATGGATTAAGAGGATTTTTTTCATTTTGAAGATATTATGGCACCAGCTATGCAGAGTTCCCAAACTGGAATACATTGTGTTAATTATGCTTGGACTCAAAGTGGAAGTGAAGCTGAATACTGGCAGCATTTGAACTTGGGATGTAAAGGGGCTCAGTTTTTTTTCTAGGGAAGCTATAGTCTTTTGGATTAAAAGGTAGTCCACTTTCTTTCAAATCTGAATTAACTGCTTTCTTCCATTATTTCCCTGGGAACTTCTGCGTACTGAAGATTTCTGGAAAATAGGCCATTTTATTCAAAAGCATGCTGCAACCAGAAGTTCAAGGGTGTAGGAAGAGTATATGTAATGCGAGATGAAACTCTTGCAAGGGATAATTAACCAAGGAGAATAATTTCTACATGCTCAGAGTAATGTTATTCCAGAGGAAACAGCCTTTAACCAGCAGTGCCCGGTGTGAGAAAAAGGACAGTGAAGCAGGTAGATGACCAGTTCAAATCTTTTCTTGCTCAGAACTGTGGAAAGGTGTTGGGATCAGCAGAGGAGCAGGACTTGAGTTTACTATACATTTTATCATTTCCTTACCCTTTTAGTGGCCTTTTCCTTTTCACTAATGTTTGTGTCCATTACAGGGTTTGATACTACTACAAGGAAGTCAGGTGAACGAGCTGCCACCTAATCCTGATGAACCAGGGAAGCATCTGTTTGAAATTACCCCAGGTATGTCAGTGGTTTTTTGTGCTTTCACTATAACATTGAATCATTCCCATTGGTTGTCACTAATGGTAATTGAGTTGCATTGATCACTCCTGAATGTTCTGATACACTGGCAAGATTATCCAGTGAGACTGAGAAAAAGGACTTGACTAAATGGTGTTCCTTGTTCTGGATATAAGTGCTGCTGTGGTGCCTCATTTTCATTTTACAGAGTTGAGATGCATCATGATCCCTGCCTTTCCTGTTTGGAGAGGCTCTTTGCTTGGAGCGTTGTGTGGTCTCTCTATGGATGCATTCTTCTGGTTGCTACAGGAGAAACAGGCACAGAGCACAGTACAGAACTTAGGGAAGAGGGACATGTGGTATCAGGATGAAATTTATTTCATGTATACTAATTATTTTGGGAAAGTGGGTAGGAGGGCACACAAAAAGCTTCAAAACATTTCCCTTTTGGATGAAAGGTTTAAGAACATAGATGACCTAGCACGGAAGAGAGGTTGAATTTTTTTTCAGGTAGAAAATCTAATGATCTGTCACTGTAGTATTAATGTAAAATTTTTGCAGTAATTTTAGCTCCTATTTAAATGCTCTCTGGGGACAGAGTTTGTATCTCCAGGATAGATTCAGAATTAAGTTCCCTGTTGCAGTATAGGACCAATTTAATTCAGTTGATTTGGTTCTGATTATATTTGTAATTTGTATTCAAACCCTGCACATAGGTTTGAATGCAGTGTATTTTGGAGGTAGTTTTAGGTGGCATTTAGGATCAGAGGAGAAAAACCTGTTGCCATGCTACAGTGTTACGGCAGAGGAATGAGAGCCTTGAAAGAACTGAGTCAGTTCATCTATCTCCCAGTACCTGAAGACTGAGTTCCTAGAAACTAAGAGGTAGACAAATGTGACTCTGCTAAAAACTGAATGCACTAACTCAGTCATGCTTCAGTTCACTTCCAGATTGTCCTGCATGGGCTATCTGTCCATGCTGCTTAGCATTATCTCTCCCACAGCATCAGTGCTGCCAGTATGGAAGATAAAAGTAATTGCTTTAGGTTGCCTCTTGTTTTTCTAATGGATTTTTTTTAATAGACACTTGCCCCTGTATTTGAATGTTATTGCTGTGAAGTCAGGTGTGTTTTTACTCTTTGGGGTAATTTTCTTACCACCCTGTTAGGCTGGCTTAAAATATCATTTTTGCATACCCCTCTTGAGACAGTATCAGGCAGAGCAAGAACAGGCAGTGCTGTAAGGTTTTCAACAACCCCATCAGGCAGTGTTTTGCAATACCTCAGTCACAGAATTCCGTTTGACATGCAGGAAGCTACTTGGGGAGAAGAGATTAATTTTTTTTTCCTCTTACTTATCACTGTGCACTATCTATTAATGCCTTTTTTTCCCCTTATACTGCACTGTGCCTCATAGGCAGGGCCCCACAAACAGCAGGGCATTGGGCCCACAGTGTTGCCTGTATGGAGGATCTCCAAGGAAGTGGCATTAATTTTTGGTCTGAATGTGACCATTTTGCAAAAATTGTTCCCCATACTGTTGCAGAAGGACTGTGAATCTGTGATGTGAAAACACTTGGATTGTTGTGATTGTGAATGATCCCATGTGTTCTGGCAGTGATCTGAAATAATTAACTGAGCCACAGACTGGCTTTATTGAGTTTCCTGAAGATTTGAAGTTCTTCTGATTCCAGATGGCAAAATGGTAATTCTTTACTACTTGTTCAGCTTATCAGGTTATATTACTGTAGCCTGCAAAAGAATTGTCCTAAACTGCAGGGAGCTGTTGCTTCAGGTGAGTTGGTAAAGCAGGACCGTGTGGCTAGTTGAAAGGGGCTATTCAGAAAGGTGGAAAAAAGTGACACTATTTAGCATGGTTGTGGATCCCAGGATATTTGTGTTCAGTCTAGTGTTTTGACATCACACTTTTCTGTATTCCCTGAAAAAACTATTCAGTCTTAGTGTAACACTGACTTGTCTGCAAAATGAAGGTGTTTTCCTTAACTTATGCAACTAAATCCCATTTGCAGCAAACTTAGTTGCTACATGGATAGTAAGTATTGAAAAAACACTATAAATAGCCAGTCAATACAGAATGTGATTGACACAGACGTCACCGGAGAATGTGACCCAAAGAGGTCCCCGTTTTGTTCACAGTAGATTTATTCTGTGCTGGTTTTGGCATAAATGCCTTTTCTTTTTTTTTGCATGTGTTCTGAAATGACCGTGTTCTGCATGGTTGCCAGCCTGCAGAACACCCACATAGTGAACAGCTCTGAAACAGATGCCAGATAGGAAGGGGAGCACAAATCATCTTGCAGGACCCAGATCTTTATTTCCCATTACTGCCCATCTTTCCTTGTGTTGGATGTATGGCCACAATCACATTGCTGCCTAATGGTGTTTAATTTATCCCAATATAACCTAGGACTCTACAGTTTCTATAGGGATAGTAAGATTTATGTTTTTTTAAACTCTCTTAGCTAAGTTGGGGATTTTGTGAATACAGGTACATTCAATAGCTCAAGTATAGATTAGGGTTTTACTGTACTAGCAAGCATCAGAGCTTTAACCAGCAAAATTAAGAACGGAGTGTAACATTCCTAAAGTGTACGTATAGCTGATAGCAGTTTACCTGGCAAAGAGAAGAAACTGAGCTCTGAGAAATGTCCAAAGAGTTCCAAAGTCTGTGGTACCACATATCTCCAAAACCCTATATTGTGATTAATGGCTAAGGCATTCAGAGTCCTTGTTGTGCAACTGTTGTTGAGATCTTGCCACCTTTCCTCTGCTACGGGCTGTGTTAAATTTGGCTGTGAGAGCTGCTCCCTCAGAGGGCAGGGACTAGAGTAACAGCATGTCCTGTGCTGTAACAGAGCACGAATTGATTTTCTGCTGAGCAACAAGAACTAATGATGGGCATTGTGCATTATTCATGTTTCATCAAGTTCATTTCTAAGCTGTATAGGGCAGCTGGGAGAAGGGTTAACTAGGGACATGAGACTGCAGAACAGTTCTACAGTCAAACCAGTGTTAGATCTGGTGACAGGACTTCCTGAGATATATTCTCTATATTCCTTTTTGAGGAAACAATGTAAATTTCTGTTTTGAATCCATTCATGCTTCCCTTCATCATAGAAGTTCAAAGTGGAATGGTGGGGCAAGCTCTGGGTACAAGTTGCTCTCGTACTCCAGTGCACATTAGCAGGTGGTGGGGAGTGTTTTTGTAAAGTTAATAAGGTAGTATGAGGTCAGGTTCAAATGTTATGCCATTTGGAGCAATAATTCCACAGCAGCTGGTATTTATGGATGGAAGTGATCTATGTTGTTTGGGAGAGGAGTCCAAATCTGACAACAAAGAGCATCTGCTGTTGCTAGGGGCAACAGAACAACAAGGTGTTGACCTGGGGTCACAGTGCATTTTGGAGTGGTGTAATGCAGCTTGTAAGAAGCCACTGGGATTAAGCTCTGAGAAAGTCTTAAGGAATGTTCATGACTTTAGTGCTCCTGAAGTCTGACCTTTTAGGAAACAATATTTTAATGTTGTGTGGCAAGTGGTCTATCTAGTTTCATTCCCCAGTCTTTGCAGCACTACGAGATGCTCAAGTTCTTCTGCAGACAGAGAATATCCTGATATAGTAAGATTTTTAGAATCCACAAGGGGAGTGGTAAAAAGGTTCAGAAGTTAGGAGGTACTCATGGTACACATTTTGATGTCCTTTATCACTGATGGTAGCTAGTTCCTGTTTCTTGACACAGTGCTTTTTGCCAACGTGAACGGTGACAGCTCTTAGCTGAGCCTTTCTGTGAGAATTAGAGTGCTGTTTTGTAATGAGTTTCATTTTTTCATTGGAAACAGCTGCTGAAAGGATTGATATTGTTTCCATATATTTAAGCAGATATTTCATTTCAGCTCTCATGACTGATAAAAAGTTCTCAAACCAGTTGGACTTCAAGTCAATCCAACCAAGGTGGTGAGAGCTGCAACTTTAGGTTGTTTTTTGTGCTCCAGTTGAGTTAGCAACCGCTCTCTCCTTAATAAAGCAGTTCAGTCCTCTTCATTTTTGTTACCTCGGTCTTTTTGCAGACTTAGCCAGAGCAAGGACCACTGCCTGTACGTGAAAATAACCTTTGCCATCTAAATCAAAACTTTGGAAGTCAGTTCTCTATGGTGTGCCCTTTCAGTTAGTTCTAGAGACTTAATTTACTATAGGCAACTTGCCCTTACAAAAGGAACTTGCATGGAATACAGAATCGTTCAAAGATTGAGTAGTGGTTGCATTTTGCCAGAAGTTAGGCCGGGGCAAAATAAAATGCCTTGTGCAGAAACTTTGTGCAGGGCTTATGCAGAAGCTACTTCATGGCCTTGGTTGCGCTGTATAACAAGAAGGAAAATCAAGAAAGGCAGAATAAGAAGGTAGGAGTCTTAATTCTTACAGGAACAATAATTACTGTCTACTTGTTCTGTAGGGGTCCATTTGTATTGTTGACAGTATTTGACAGAGAACTTGGAGTGGCAGCTTGTTTGTTTTGTAGCAGTAGGTGGAATGATGCCCACAGAGCAGTCTGATCTGGTACACTTCTGCATCCCAGGTGATCAACACCACTTAAGCTATTTTTGTGGCCTTTTTATCTCAGTTCCTGTTGAGATGGTGTGTAATTAAAATACCAGGAGGAGAAATTAGAAATTCATACATTGAAAAGCATTCCGTGTTCTCTATTATTCAATGCAAATTGCAGTTCTAATTAACAGCAGGATCCTGAGTTTGGCATTGGTAATTAAGTTTTCTCCTGAAGTCTACAGCTGAAAACTGACTGTGCATATCTGAATATGTGATGATGTTGATATTTGAGAGGTATATTTAGATTCCTGGGATTTGGCATCCACCATATTGGCTAGGGAAATGGCAGCAAAATAAAGTAATTTTGGGTCCTACATGAAAGTTTAAGAATGCAGTGCATTCTGGAAGCACTTAGCAAGAGAGAGTTGTGGATGTTACC